TCTGTAATGGGTAAAATATAAGAATAGAGGTTTAGGGGCTGTATAATTAGAGAGAGAGATGTAATGCCCGATGGCACGAGAATGAATCTTACGTTTTTATTTATTTGGTGGGGTGTGATTATCTTTAATATGTTCAGCCTCTAATTTATCTTATAGAATTTCCCCTTACTAAATGTTATTATGTATATATGTGTGTATTATTTAAGTACATGCTTTAATCATAATATGTGTGCACTTACCTTGTTTGATATGAAATGTGCTTGTCTTCTGTGACTCTCGGAGTTGTGGATTAGATGCAACGTTATTTATTACCCTCTTTATTGATTGATTTTAGGTTGATTGAATATGGATTTTTTTTTTATGTGGAAATAAGAATAATATGGAAAGGAATTTAATAAAGTTAACACGTATTTGATTCAGTTATAAATGTAAAAATATGAACGTAACAATATGAGTTAGCACTTAGGTGTTTGGATATTTGTGAGACGCGAGTGTAAAATATAAGTTAAGTTAAAACTTGGTGAATAGATGAAAAAATGATTTATGTGTATATGTGTGGCGTAGAAAAAATGGTATTGCGGCTATGTGGCTATATGATGACACTGCGACATTGGTCAATCCTCTTCTCTTCGCTCCGATCCTTGAACGCCGTCTCTGATCTGTCTGCTGTTGTGTCTTTGGTGTGGGCGTTACTTATATGAGCGTATCATAATTGTCGTCGCATGTCGCAGCATCACTATCCGTGTATAGGGTGTAACTATTCTTGTAGTGTATTCGTATTGTTTTATTACGGTGTGTATGGATGCGTCTTGTGAACTATTCTATCCTATATGTATGTGTGTGTGTGTTTTATATAATTTGGGGAGATTTTGATGTATATTCTAATTGTTGTTACATCATTACCTGTATAATTCGGGATGTGATTATTCAATTATTTTTATATTATGTGATTGATTTTGGTGTACATATTAATTGTTGTGTCATCATGTTTTAGATGATGGGGTTCAATTATTGTAATGTGCTGTGTATTTAATTGTTGTTGCACAACGTCTTATTATATTTTATGTGATCTACTTATATGAGAATTATATTATAATATTAATCGTTTATATGTGGCCGATTTAATTGCATTATATGTGCCACACCCAAGTACTTATACTCATATTGGAAGTCCCTTTTTACCTTTTTATTATTAACAAGACTTGTATTATTTATATATTACAAATTGCACGGAAATTCGAATTTCATCGTGTCCCCACGATGAACTGATGTTATACATTTAAAAGTTGAATATTCCGTGTATATCTTAATGTATAATTTATATAATATGAAAATTCTTAAATATAATATGAGTATTTGCTATGGTTGGTAAAACAATGAATATAATATTTGATTAATTATTAAATTGTGTGTTTTTTTTTGATAGGTTGTATAGTTCCCCTTTTTTTTTTTTCTAAATTTAAATTTACTTTGTGTACCGAAATAAAATTTGATTGTTTTTTTTTTTTTTTTGTGTTTTTTTTTTACTTAATTTACTTTGTGTATGGAAATAAAATTTGATTGTTTTTTTTTTTTTTTTGGAGTGTTTTTTTTTTACTTAATTTACTTTGTGTACGGAAATAAAATTTGATTGTTTTTTTTTTTTTTTTTTTTGGGAGGGTTTTTTTTTTACTTACCAAATTTTGTTTTTATTATTGACAATGTGGTTGGTGTTGATGTTGGTGCATGGGTTGGAATGTGCTGCTCTCTTGGTTGAATCCGTGACGTTGATTGTTGATGTTTGTTGGTTGACTTGCTGACGAGACTGCTGTGGCCTTATTTGACTCCGTGATGTTGGTTGTTGATGAGGCTAATCCATTGTCCGTTGAATCCATGATTGATTTGCGTGGTCGACATTTTTTTTTTTTTATTTGAACCGTGTCATTGGTGGTTACTGTGGGAGGGGTCTTGAATACTTCAACGGCGTTGATTATGATTTGGTCCATCATTAATTCTTTATATTGTGTTTTCCTGATTACCGGCATGTAATTGTGTTGGATGTTGGTATTGTTGAATGATATACATTTTGCTAAATGTAATATCCATGGTCCAGAATTGTGCGAACTTGATTGTTTTGGAATGTGGAAGTAAATTGATTTCCATTTCGATGGATGATGTCCGATAATTGTTTGCCGGCTGATTAAGAATTTTTTTATGACTGCCATTTCAAATTCATAATTGAGGTTCTTGTTATAATAACAAGCGATAGTTTTTATTTTTGTAAATATAACTATCAGTGCCCATTCTTCTTTGATGTGTATTGGGAATAGTATTATTTTGGTATTTAATACTGGAATTTTCGTCCATACCTTTGTTTCACGCATTCCATCATTTAGATATTTGTCAATAAAATCAACATTGAAGGCATGTATTTTGAGTGTTGATTGCGTTGTAATTAGATCGAGGTATTTGTTGATCATATTTTCGTTTGTATTATAAGTATAGAATGTTGTTCCAAACCCAGCCATATTGTGTTATGATTTTATAACTTTATATTGATTATTTTTATAAACTACTATATAGGTGATGAATATGTTTTTTTTTTTTTTTTTTTTTTTTTTTTTTAGGTAGTTATCCCGTTATTTGATATAAGTTCCCTTTAAAGAATTTTTAATTTAATAGTGTTTCCCTTGTTTTGATTAAATTGTACTTATTTAATCATGTATGTGATTAAGTCTTACTTTCCTTAAATTATTGATTATAATTGATAATTTGTAATAGTTATTACTACTTATGAGGTGAATATTTTTGTTTTTTGTATTTTTATAAATCCTATTCTTTATCCCCTTTTGTAAATTTACACTTAAAATTATAATAATTCGATTGATGTTTAGATTATTGTTTTGCTAAATAGTATCCCTTTTAATATAAAAATTCCCAGTTAATGTTATAAATTATGTTTTTTTTTTTTTTTTTTTCTAATAATTCTTAGTGTTTAATCATTAATTAATCTATAGGTACTTATTTTTATCTTATTTTTGTTTATTTTGTAGTTAATATACTAATAAGTCTTAATATTATATACCCTTTTATTTGTACTTTGTAATTATCTTTAATTATAGTATTTACAAATTTATTTTATTGTCTATTTTATGATTAATGTAAGTACTAATGTGTCTTAATATTATATATCCCTTTGTGTTAGTATTAGTATTTATAGTTGTTATTAATTCTATTATCTACAAATTCATTTTATTATTTTTATTTACTTTTCTAATGTTGTTATACTTGTATAGTTGATATTGATAATGATTTGATGTTATATCCGGTGTTAATTAATTGATTGAAGTTATCAACATGGTGTTTCCTTTTCAGTATCTTTTGATTATATTTTGTGGTTATAATGATTAGTCTGAATTCTGATTTCTGGCATGTGTTTTTTTTTTGAATTGTCTTATTAATTATTATTTGTGTTGTTAGTATATTTGAATTATGTTTATTTAATTTATTATGTTGGATATTTTGGATTTTTTGACGTTTATGTGTTCAAGCATTATTTCAAGTAAGGTAGTAAAGTTGTTAATATATAATTTTACTAAATTTTATTTTTGTAGATTCTATTCTTCTTTTGGTTGATTATTGTTGAAATTATATTATGTTTAATGAGTTTGTGTGTTTTTATTAAATAACTGTTTTATTCCAGTTGGTAATGTTTGATCTTCAATTGTTCTATTTGTCTTCTGCAACAAGGACATTTGGTATTTTTGATGAGTGAAATACAATTCATATGAAACGTGTGATTGCAATCAGTTTTTATTAATTGTCCTTCAGATTCAAGACAAATTGGACATATTGTTTCTTCGTTTAGGGTAGGTGTGAATTCCTTGAGATTTATTTGTTGTGCTATTATTATTACTTGTTTATCTTTTTTTATTAAGATTTTTTTGTCTGGAAATGAGTTATTTAGTGTTATGTTTTTTATTTTATTGTGTTTACATGATAATTTAGTTAATAAACCATTGATTATTATTGTTTCTAATGAGTTATTAGAACAATGAATTTCGTTTAATTTTATATTTAGTTCAATTTTTGTTATTGAATTTCTTTTGCAATATAGGGTTGACAGATTTCTATTTAAATTGAGATTTGTTAATTGATTGTTGCTGCAGTTTAGTGTTCTCAAATTTGGATTTAAATTTAATTCTTTTAGTTCATTGTTGTTACAATGTACTTCTATCAGGCTGTATCCTAATATTAGGTTTTTTAATTTGTTATTTGAACATGTTAATTGGATTAGTGTGTTTGATAGATTTAAATCAATGATCTTATTGTTTGCACAATCTAATGCTCTTAATTCATTATTAGTGATTAGTTGATTCATGTTATTGTCTGTACATATAAGGGTTTGTAATTTAGTGCATTGTGACACATCTAGTTTATTGATGTCCATGTTAATTATTGTTAATTTCCTTAATGTATTTGATTTTATTATAAGGTTTGTATATATTTTTTTAGGGCATTCAGTGCTTAGGTTGAGTTCTGTGCAGTATGTGACATATTTTTGTGCTGAAGAGTCTGATTTTTGTTTTAACAACATTTTATTGGTGTTAGCTAAAAATAAGAAGAATTTTTATTTATTATTATGCAACTGGTTATTTGCTGTTATTATTGGTGTGAAATTGTTTTTTTTTTTTGTGAGTGAGCTACTGATTTTGATTATTTATTAGAGATTCTAAGGATGTATTTGTGTTGGTCATTAGGTGATTAAATATGCATTTGGTCAGATTTACATCTGTTACCGGGTCATGTATGTATGTGTCATTATGCGATAATTTACATATTATTTTGTGCGTTTCCTCTAGGTTTGTGAGCCTACCTTTTTTGTTTATGTATCCTAACTTTGATTTAATGACTATTTTATTGTTTGTAGTGTTTATTAGTTGTAAAAAGAATTCCCCATTATTGTGAGTGTCGTAACATGTCATGTTGAATACTGGCATGTCTATACCCATCCTTTTTAGTATTTCCATGTCAGTATCCCCATTCCACGTTACGATAATTGGTTTCTTGTTATTGTAGTTAGCATATTTAATTATGTATTGTGGATTGAGGTTGCCATTCTTTTTTAGGAAGCTCTCATTTAATTCATTCAATATTGGTTCTTGTTTTTCCGGTTTATTTTTGAAGATTTTTATTATTGTTTTTATTATTATATTTATTTGGTCTCTGGGTAATTTAGTTATTTCTGTAGATTTTTGATGTTTTCTTAGTAGTAGTGGTTGCCCTTTTAATTTAATAGTTTTTGACTCGGTGTGGCTGTTAGCTATTGCCCCGGATATTAGTACTAGTGTTGTTCTTTCGATTAAAGTAAATTCAAAATCTATGATAACGCAATTCATTTTGTATTGTTTTTATCTTGTCAGTCCTGTAATTTTAAAATATAATAGTTTTTTACATATATTTTTTAATTCTTTTGATTTTGATTTGTGAGCTGTGTTTTTTGTGATGCTAGCTGTGTGTATAAGTATATTTGATGTGAGTGTTTGTGGTGTAATGTTATAATGTGTGATATAAATTCTACCCATTTCATTTGGTATTACTGCGTTTTGAAATTGAACTAATTCTGGTGCCTTTATAATAAAGAATGCATAGTTGTAAAATGTGTATGATAGCATAGAGCGACCAATGTATGTTTTGTTGTTTAGTGAATAATGATCTCGATAAATGTTTTTTGTCCATTCAATTTTTTGGATTTGTGGGTCTATTATGCATGAGTCATTGAAATATAGGGTTATTTTTTTATGAAATTTATCTGAGTAGTTTTTTGAAATGAAATTTTGTTTGGAATTATTTTTATTGAAATATGTATCATAGTATAAGTTTTGGTTTTCTAAATTGAACATTCTTGATGATTCAGGTATTCTATAAAATTTTCTTTTATCTTTCCCTAGGTGTCCTGTCATGGTTAGAAATATTGGGTCACATAGAAGTCCTGCCTTCATTATAAAATATGCCGATAGTGCAGTTATGTCAATTATTTTTTCTAATAGGTGGGAAGGTTTTAAATTTGGTAAATGCCATAATTGTGATGATAGACAGATGAATATTTCTGATAGAAATATTGCTCGTAAATAAGCTTTCTTTTGTAATTTAAGTGATTTGGTGGTTTTTTCTAAATTATGTAATATTTTGGTTATATAATTATAATCTGAAGTGTTTTCATTTAAACATATTATATAAGTATTGTTTAGATTATCAGTATAAATTGCATGTTTTATTTTATTATTTTCTATATTGTGGGTTCTATTTATTATTTCTTTGTGGAGATGTATTGTTATCATATGTTTATTATTCTGTCTTATTTTAAAATTATTGTGATTGGAAAATTTGCTTGTTATATTCGTTTCGCTCAAATTTAATACAATGTTGTTTATTTGTGTGTGTTTATAATTGATTAATATTGAGTTTTGTGTTGTGCCCCAAAATGTTGTTGTGTCGTACGTTCTGCTGTCGACTCGTGATGTTGGATATCGATCTGTTTGTATTGATTTCATTAGGTCTGAACGATATTCCATCTGAATTATGACATTTATGATTTAGTGTAAATTTAATGGTGTTAGTGCTTATGTACAAGAATTATTTTAATGACTCTGATATATTTTATATTATATATTTTTTTTATATGATTTAGTTATATTATTATGTATTATATTATGATTATGTTTAGTTTATTCAGGCTTTATGTATTTATAATGATCTTCTAAGATCTTGGTGTTGTGTGTTTTTTATATTTAGTGATGGATAGATTTGTCTAGGTTGTGGTGTAGGTTGTGATATAGGTTGTTCTGTAATATTGTCTAATAAGTATGTCTCGCTGGATTTCATTTTCATTATTTTGTGTATTTGTTTAGCTTTAGTATGTGATTTAGGCATAAAAGAATGTGTCATGCTTGCAAATAAACCTGCCAGTACTTTAAAGCTAAATCCAAAAGTTTGATATAAGATTGACATGTTGATTGTTGTGTTTAGACATATCATAAAGATTTTCCATATAACAAATACACCTAATAATCCAGATATAAAATTACCAAAACCTACAAACCAGCCCCACATTTTGTTTAGTTTTTCTTCGACCAATTTGCTTATGAGTTGTTCATCGATATAAGGTCTTATTTTTAGTCCTTGATCAAGAGTGTTGTAGCCCATTGTTTCTCTTGCTAGGTTGCTTTGAGCTGCAAAAACTTCTTGAGGAAATAATAGGTTGTTTTTGTAAGCGTTAATCATGTCGCTTGAGTATAAGCCGCGTTCATTAGTGTTGTGGACTTTTATATGCCCATGTCAAGTTGTTGTGGTTTTAATAATTGAGGTGTTTTGCTGAACCTAGTTCATTGTATTGAGGTGACTGCTTATATCCATTCATCTTCCATGAATATCCGGCTGGTAGTAGTGAATGTGCAGTCGAGTTCAGTACCATATTTTGTAAGGTGTGCGTTTTTGGTGCCATGAATGATTTTTGTTTGTTGTGTATTATTGGGAGTTCCTGAAAACAAGCTTTGTGGCTTCTATCTAGTTCAACTTCTACAGGTTTGCATTTGATAAGGTATACTATTTCTCCTGATTTTAATGCAGTGTAGCCCGGACCTTCTCCCATTGCGTATGCAAATTCTGGTAGACTGTAAGAGGCTAACGAAAGTTTTTGCAAGAGTATACTTCTTTCTAAGTTACATTGTTTTGTAACTAAATCGAAATACATTGAAGTGATGGAAGCTTGTAAAATGTTTTGTATGTAAACAAACTTAGTATTTATGTATGCCATCAAATCTGTATTATATGTCGAGATTGGTTTTGTGTGGAAAAAATGTATGTTTGCTTGGTCGGTTAATATAAATAATCTTGGATGTTCAGTTCGAAAAACTGGTATGTGGCATGCGTAGTCCATGCCCATTTTGCGTAGAGCGAATGCAATTTTGTCCGATTCTACTAAAATTGTTTGAATTTCAGTAGTTGAGTTATATGATTGTATGGATGTTATTAGTGTAGCTGGCCCTTCATATAGAGTGTCGTAATCATTAGTGTTACAATTTTCTTGTTGGTTATGTTTCCATATTATTTCTCCTTTATGTGAGTCGATTCCGTATCCGTCCGATAGTTTTAGACGAGTTCCGGTTGGAAGTATTATGACGTTATCTCTGCTATTTGCAGTTGCCATACCTTCTGATAATAGTATTTTATATTTTGCTTGTACTAGTACGTTGTCCCATTCATACTTGTCTGTTCTGAATGTTTCTCCAGTGCAGTCTCCATCTCGGTTGACTTGGCCCTTGATTACATCCGAAAAGTACATGGTTTGGTTTATTTTTATTTTGTTCGCTGTTATGCCTTGAAAAAATGTGTATGAACGTTGCAAGTGTGCATCTGCGCATTGTGCTGCACCTATTTGTATAAGTTCTGTAAAGTACCCATTTCTTACGATTTGTGCATCGTCAAGGCTAGCGCATTTTGTGATTAAGAAGTCAGCTACTATGTAGCATGCTTGATATTGTATTTGTTTTGATTCTGTTGTTTGTAGTAATTTGATTAATGGTATTTTATCTATTTTGTTTGGTATGGGGGGTGAACAATAATCTACATTTAATGTGTTAAATGATGTTATGTTCATTTTACTGCCTGAGCAGTCGTACGCTATGAAACCTTTGGTTTGTTGTATTATATATGTTATGTTTATGATTGTTATGTATAAAATATATTTGTACTTATACATATTAGTAGTGTGATATATATTGTTATTCGTTACCATTTTCTGTGGATTCCGTGTCCTCACATGAAATGGTGTTGTCCCTTTTGAAGTATGGTTTCAAACGTCTAATATGAATGATATCTTGTGTTAGTTTATTATTTAATGTAAGTTCTATAATGTAATTTACATCATTCTTTTTTGAAATTACTTTGTATGGGCCTCTGTATTTGGGAGCTAGTTTTTGTGTTTTGTTTTGTTCTTGAAATGGAAATTTAACCAAGACTAATTGATTTGGTTCATATGTGGTAAGCTTATGTATTTTGTCATGATTTATTTTTTGTATTTCTTGAGCTTTTTTATGTAATGGGGATGCTTTCCCTTGCTAGTTTTAGTTCCTCAAGTGATTTTTTTATGTCGTAAGATAAGTTTTCTGGTATTATTTGTATGTCTATGCCTATGTTTGCGTTGAAACCGTGTAATAGGTAGTATGGGCTGTGATTTGTCGATATTTGTGGTGAGTTGTTGTAGCTAAATATTATGTATGGTAAATAAAATGACCATCTTGATTGGTTGTTGTCTTTTATATAATGTCTTATTGCTTGACATATTACTCCATTGATTCTTTCAGTGAAGCCTTGTGATTGAGGTGCATAGCTGGATGAAAATATTTGTTTGATTCCAAAGCTTTGACAGGTTTCGTTCATTATTTTATTTTTAAAGTGTAAACCTCTGTCAGAAGTAAGGTATCGTGGTACACCATATTGTGTGATATATTGAATAAGAAATTTGGCTACAGTGTTAGCGTCAGAGCACTTTGTTGCTTTGGCTATGACGTATTTGGTGCTTTGGCATGTAAAGACTAGTATGTATTTTTTGTTGTTGCTGCTAGGTAATGGTCCTAAGAAGTCAATAGTAATTCTGTCTAATGGTTTACATTTAGGTAATGGTATTGGTTGTAGACATCCTGCAGGTTTACCTTGTGATTTTTTATTTATTTGGCATTCATGACATGATTTGATGAAAGTTGTTACGTCTTTTATTAATGTTGGCCAATAATATTTTATTTGAATCGCTTTTATTGTTTTTGTGATACCCATGTGACCTGCTAGAGGGGGGTTATGATGAGCTGTTATAATATTTTGAATTAAGTTTTTTGGTATTACAATGGCGTTTTCTATATTTTGTTTAGGTATGTGTCTTTTAAGATATAGTATTTGATTTGTTATTGTATATCTTCTGGATATTCTTTTGTATTTATTTGACGTAGGTATGTTGTTTATCGCTTTTATTATTTCTTTGCAAAATTCGTCATCATTTTGACTTTGTATTATATTAATTTCTGTGGGTTTTTTAGCGTTTATATTATATATGATGTGTTCTTGTTTATGAAGTTGGGATTCGTGTTTAAAAATTACAGCGTCTATAATGTTCATAATGTGTTCTCTTGATAGACAATCTGCGACTTTGTTTTCTTTCCCTGCTTTGTGTTTTATTATGAAATCGAAATCTAATATTTTTAGTGTTAGTCTAGCTATTCTGGCAGATGGTATTTTTAAATTCTTATAATATTGTAAACTGATGTTGTCGGAGAATACTGTAAATTTTCTTCCCCATAGAAATTCTCTAAAATATGTTATACCAAATACTAGTCCTAAAAGCTCTAAAGTTGTGGATGAGTATGTTTTTTCTGATTCTAGAACTTTTCGTGAAGCATATCCTACTGGTCTTAGTTTATTTGTGTCGTCTGGTTGTTCGAGAACAGCGCCAAGACCAGTTATACTAGCGTCGACAGTTAAATAGGTCTCTTTGTCATCGGAAAAGTGTGCAATTACCGGTTCAGATGTTAAAATCAATTTTAGTTTTTTAAATGCATTTTCGTGATCATCTGTCCATGTTATGGATTTATTATTTTCATGTTTAGTTAATTGAAATAATGGGTGAGCTATGTGTGAGAAATCTTTTACTAGTCGCCTATAGTAGCTGCATAGTCCTAGAAAGCTGCGAACTTGTTTGGCTGTTTTGGGTTGTTCAAAATTGGTTATAGCTATAGTGTTCTTAGCTAATGGTTTAATGCCTTGGCTAGATATTTGGTGACCTAAAAGTTCAATTTTATTTGCAAATATATTACATTTTGCTGTTTTTAGTGAAAAGCCATATTGACTTATTATTTCAAAAACCTTCTTTAAATTGTATAATGCAGATTCGAAGTCAGATCCGAAAGTTGCTAGGTCGTCTATGAATATGATTACTGATTTATATAAATATTCTGAAAAAGCTTTGTTAAGTTCTCTTTGGAAAATTGCACTTGAATTTTTGAAGCCTTGTGGTAGTCTTGTGAAAGTCATTAGACCATGAACCGTAGTAAATGCTAACATATATTGATCTTGTTCTCTAACCGGAATTTGAAAGAATCCTGAGTTAAGATCAATTGTCGTGAAGAACTTTGAGCTTTCTAAGCTCCGGAATAAGTCTGTTGTTCTAGGTAATGGATATTGGTCAGATTCTACTATATTATTGAGTTCTTTGTAAGATACGACGAGTCTATAATTGTTTTTCTCTTTTTTGCGTACCAGGAATGCAGGAGATGCAAAATTGGATTTAGTATGCTTTACTATGTCTGCAGTTATTAATTTATCTAATTGTGTTTTTAGTTCTTGTCTTTGGGATGGGGAGACTCTATGTGGTGGGTTGAATTTTGGTTCTTTTGTGTTTGGTTTTAGTTTGATTTGACATGGTTGTACCTTTGCAGGTTTTATGTGTGCTGTATCAGTAGAGAATATATGTATAAATTGTTTTAATAGTTGTACTACTTGATTATGTTGTTCTAATGTTAAGTCTTTAGATATGTTAATTTGAGTTCCCTCATTATCATATATTGCTTCTCTGTTATCGCTGATAATTGTGTTTATAATTTCTTTGTTGTGATTTGTTTTATTGTTTATTTGTGTTTCTAAATTAAATCTTTTTATTATGTGTTCTATTGAAATGTAATTTTTTGTGTAAATTATTTTCTGTGGTATTTTATTTGATTTAGATTTATTTTTTATTAGTGTACCTGGACACCAATGTGTTCCATTGTTTAGATTATATAATACTATGGGGGGTCTAAATCCTGAGCCATATACATATCCATTTTTGGTTGAGTCAGAATAAATATATGTGTCAAAACCAAAGTGATTTGCAATGCTACTTAATTGGTCATCATGCCACCAATAATTAGGTAATTCAGATAATTGTAATAGATTCATTATATTGGCCAATGTAACTATTTTTTTTGGTTTATTGTCATTGATAGCGTTTGTTAATGCGTATAATCCGCAATTTCCGTCAGATGGTACGTTTTCCCCTATATGGTATTTAGAAAAGATTTCGCTATACTGTGGGTGTTCACTTTCTGTGTCATTGTTGGTTTTTGTAATGGTGTTGTATGTGTTTTTTATATTAGATATGATTTTTGATTTTTGATTTTTATGTGTGACGGGCGTGTTACATATGAGCAAGTGTACTCCCGTATCATTAAATACTTCAAATATCATATCGTATATTA